AACATTGGCGTGGCGAGGAGGAGGACGCAGCCGACAGCAGTAGGAGGAGGAGGCCAGCGGGCTGAGGATGATGATGATGATGATGATGATGATGATGTGGAGATGGAGGTGGCTGCTCACGAGATCCCATACGATGCACCCCCCTACGGCACCGCTTTTCCTGATTCTTGGACGGGGGTGCATGCGCATCAGGATGCTGTGTATCGGCAGTTGTCCGCTGAGCAGCATGAGAGGTTCGATCAGATGCGCTTTGAGCAGCAGGACTTCTACAGAGAGGTGAGGGAGGACCAGGCGCTACATTACACACAGCTCCAGTCTCAGTACACCCAGATTGATGAGCGACTCACTTCTATGGAGACTAGCTGGAGTTCGTTCTTTGATGCCTATCCACTGCCACCCCCCTCCCGAGTATTAGATTTCATTAGACTGTCCTCTGCTAGCATCTGTATCATTATATTGTTGGATGGCTGTACCATAAACACCATCACACTCCCACTCTCACTTTTTCACTTAACTCTTTATATTGTGCTTTGCTTTGTGTTCATGATGTGTTGCAGCTTTGTGGATGATGTGCCGTGCGATTCAAGACCCAGTTTTGTTCCTGGCCGACCAACGCGATAGGGAAGTTTCCATGATTCTATTTACTCGATGCGTAATATTAACTTGAGTTGATTTTGAGCACGCGTGACCCTTTCCTCTTCACCCCTAGTACATAATGCATATTTGGTCATCGGGGACGATGCCAAAGTTTAAGTGTGGGGGAGTGAATTGGGCATTCGGGCAGTAGTTGTTACATGTGATTTGTTAGAGTTAGCATGCACAGGTGTTAGTTGTATATTCATAGGAAATTAATGCAAAATTTTTGAAAATTTTTCTTTAAATTGTGTCTTTGTGAGCTGACTAGCGTTTTGACTATGCTTTTAGAACATCTTTGAAGTGTTTAGGCTTAAATTGCTTGCATGATAATCTAGTTGTTCTCGTGCCAACATGACAAGGAAAACTAAACTTAATGAATGAACTTAGAGGCTATTGAAAAATTAGCTTTAGTCTTCCGTGTACTTCAAGTATACGTCAAAGCACAAATGTGCCGAGATGGTTTAGCTTAGTTGTACACCATGTCTACTCTTTGCATAGGTTTAAATGATTGTTCCTAATTTGTGGCCTACTGAGTTCCTTGTTCCTAAGAATAGCCCTGAAATTCCTGAATGCATTGAGTCTTTGTTAGAATATTCCTATCTCTCAAAATAAAGGGACTATCATTATTATCCATTCACCATCACATTCACAAGTCCTTCTGATCAGTAGCTAGCTTATTTGTGTAGGCTGTCATTACTTTGAGGATGTTGTGAATAATTGTGTCAAATAGTTTAGCTTAAGTACAAAGGTGTAGTTTAAGGAAGAATTTTCTTGGTTTAGATTATATGTCTTGTGAATATCCCTTTAACTACGTGTGCATGCTAACTATTTTAAATTCCGTGTGGTGATTATCGTAAGTCCCGTTGTTCGATTTGCTTGAGGACAAGCAAAAGCTTAAGTCTGATAAGTCCATATTTAGACACGCATTTGATGCGTGTTCGGGTCGGATTTTGGTGGTTTTCCTGGCTTTAAGGCGTTGCAAGTCTCAATTTTGGCTCAAGTTGTGTTTAGCAGGCGTTGAATCGAGTTTCATTGCATTTGAAGTTGATTTGAAGAAGTTAGAGTCCGGCAATCGGCGCTTGAGAGGCATTCAAGAAGGATTTGAAGGTGTTCGACAAAGATTTGAGAGATTTGGAGGTCACCAGGAGATTCACGACGAAATTCTGGTGAAGAAAGAGCATTTGGATCGACCTCATAGGCATTCGGGAGCATTCGGAGCAAGAAACGAAGAAAAAACGATGAAGAAAAGGTCAGGCACGACCGTGCCTAGGGGAGGCACGATCGTGCCTGCATTAAGGACGAGGCGTGGAGCTACTGGCAGCCAGACACGATCGTGTCCGGGGCAGGCACGATCGTGTCTGCATCTTTTACGCGCGATATACTCCGTAGGCACGATCCCAGACACGATCGTGCCTGGCATCGTGTCTGGCCCCGATTTGTCCTATTTCAGCTCAAATTCTCATGTTTTCTATAAATAAGGCCTCCATACCCATTTTTGAGGGTTACGAACTTTGTGGAGAGGCCTAGGGACGAGTTTTACCTGCGTTTTTACGTTGTTTACTTCAAGAACCTGAGATTCTTTGTAAGTTCAATTCTTTAATTAATGACAATTTATTCTATTCATCCCAATTCTTTTGATTCGTCAATTATGAGGCGTGAGTAGTTTAATTAGGGATTTGGGGTTGATGAAGGGGTTAATCATGGTTAATGGCTAGATTCTTTTCGGTTTAATTGCATGAATGCCGTTTAATTTGTGTTTGAATAATTTAACTGATATCTCTTGTAACCTAGACTGCAGCTAGAATTACAATTGCATGTAGAATGAATTAAGAGAGATCTAATTTGTTCTAGGACACATTCACACACACTTAATCGTTCGCTAAGAGATTAGTAGCGATTAAGAGGCCGTAAGCTCGCTCGTTTTGGCAATAATTTAGGATCCTGTTGCATGAGAGATCAGCCTGGACCCCTAAATTATTGTACTCTTCGCCGCGAGAGCGGTAAGAACTTAGTAATGATTAGCTAGGCTCAATTAAATTAAATTCATGTGATTAGGCCTGTTCTGCCAGAAATCTAGTTAACCCCGGAATCAATTCATATTCCCTTCGTCGTTAATTAAGGAAAACCAAATCTTTTTACCTGCTCTTTAGCATTAGTTTTATTTCAATCAATCAACCAATCTCGCACAATTGCACTTTTATTTTATTTATTTCTTTTTAATCGCTAAGTTTAGTTAATCTTTATTTCCCTTTTGTCCGTCCCTGTGGAGACGATACTCGTACTTTTCACCATTTTTCTACAACCATTTTAAGTGCGAGAAAACACTCATCACTATCACACTACACCCGAGCTCGGGACCTTGTCAGAAGATTGTGGACTTAGACATTTCAGCGTCCAAGTTTTGCACATAACTGTGATTACATCACTCACGCGATAGCTACCTAGGGCGTACGTCACCTAGGTGGTTTTTCACAGAATATTCCAGACTTAGGCGTGTGGCTTCCTTGCACATGTCAATACAAAAGGATCACATTTGTTATTAATAGTACGACTAATCAGCCAACTGTGATTATTCTCTCACCAATCGTGCTTTATACGCGTCATCATATTACTAGATGAGCTATTTTTTACTTGTTGCCCAAGGGTTTCATTTACGGTATAAATATCATCTTCCAACTTGTGGAAATGGATTGCCATTCTTGCACACAAGCTTACTGTTATTTTTGCCAAATTTTTTACTCAACCTATACTCAGCACTTCTCAGTTTTCTCTCTCCATTTCTGCTACCCCTGGGTCGGCGAAGCCATTACCAGAATTCTGCAAATTTTCATTTCTTCTACCTCTAGAGCTATTCCATTACAACTCCATTGATGACACATGTGTATTCGTTATTAATAGAAAGGATTTGATAGAGCTGTTGGAGTGTGATTCTATCGAGATGGGCGTAAAATATGGAGGAAAGGACAAATTTACGGGCTTTTTGTGTCCGACAAGTCAAAATACGGGAGTTCAAATAAGGGTACCAAAAAACGGGAGTCGGAAGTACGGTTTCCAACTGGAGGTAGAGTTTTGAAAAATAAAGACATACTTGTGGTTTGATTTGGGGAATCCGACTAGGGATCTGGCAATTGCTTTTGTTGAAAGGCAGATTGCATCTTGGCCGAGATTTAGGGTGCACAGTGTGTTGGTCTTCCCCTGGTAGAGAAAAAGTGAAAGACCCGAAATGGATTACAGGAGTATCATCCGTCTGGTTCCCTGCTACCACGCCGGCTAGGGTGTCGGACTCCCCCGATATCGCCAGAGCGTCCCCAATCTTAGCCTCTCCTGAAAACCTTGGGGAATCCGACTAGATTTTTCTTTTTTTTAGATAAAAAAAGAAATATTAAATAACGTGCAACAGATCTAATTTTTATACCTGTGGTCCTAAAACTGAAACCCGTTCGTGGAATCCGACTGGAAATTAGATAAAGTACTACTAAATGAAATATTAAAATAATAAATAACATATTTGTTAAAATGTGAATAACGTAATATTAAAATATAAATAAGAAATAATAAATTAATATGTAACATAATAATTTCATTTAACTATTAATTTCCATATTTTAAATTATGTTGGTGCGTTGAATGAAATCTTATCTGATGAATTTTATCTGGTTAATTTTTATCTGATTAAAACTTATCTGATACATTACTAGTATATTGCTCTATTATTAAAAATTCTAAAAAATTTATACATGATTACTACGGTGGACTTCTCTTATCTGATGATTTTTATCTGATCAATTTTTATCTATTTTAAGTGATAAATTTTATGTGATTAATTTTTTTTTGTTAATTATCTGTTTAAATTTTACATAAATTTTTATGTGGGATGAATTTGTACAAAATTTTCTTTATAAAAGTTTATAGTTGGGTGGTTGTTGAAGTTTTGTAGTGGGATGGGTCTAAGCTTTTTTAATTGGCTATTCCAACTACAAGATTTTTTTTTTAATTTTTAAAATGCCCCTTCCTACGGTCGGAATTCGCTCTTCCAACAAGAGGGTATTTTTTTAATTTTTGTAAAAAGTTAATTTCCTACAGTCGGAATTGGGTCTTCCGACGTTACTTTTTTTATTTTTTATTAATTTCTTCCTAGCCCTAACTCTATTCGGAATTGGGACTTCCGAATCCCGTTAATTTGGAAACCCTTAATTAAGAAAATTAACCATCTTTTAACTGAAAGAACATATAAAGAACGAGCCTCTACAACACCCTCTAAGCTTGATCTATTCACTGCTGATAAGATATAAAACGATATGTAATAACATACAAACATGATACGATAAATTAAAAGAAGAGAAATACAGTAATAGTCGACTAACCTCAGGGTATTAGACAAACCGCGTGGTGTAGAATACGTCCGGTCTAAGGAGATGGAAATGGAGAGAGCAATGTAGCGTACGACCGTCTGGCTGAGAGATGAGATCAGAGAGATGGAGGAAATGGGCTTAGGTTATTCCAGATCTTGGCACGTGATTTTCTAATTGGACTGGATCAAACACTATAGCCAATAACTTTACATCATTTAATTTGACAAGGGAAAGTTCCCGAAATAAGAGTAAAAAGTTTGAAATTCCAAAATAGGACTGTCACGTTTTTATTCCCAAAATAGAAGTAATTACTGTCAAGTTTGGAAAATACTGACATGTTTGAAGTCTGATATCGTCAAAACATGGCAATAATTAGTCATATTTTGGGAATAAAAACATGACAGTCTTATTTTAGAATTTTTCAAAAAAATTTACTCCTATTTCAGGTAATATTATCATTTGACAAATAGTAAATTATACTACGTATTTTTTCTAATACCCATTCGATGTTATTGTCGATTAATAGACTAAATATATTGAAATTGATAAAATTCTAATTAATCGGCTTCACTAATTTGGTGATTTGCAAAAATATTATATTTAAAATATTTTTCAATGATAAATAATGAAAAATCCTATGGAAGATAGTTAAAGTGATCTCTTACGGTACCCAAAAAGTAATCTAAAATTCATTTATGTTTATTATTATACGCGGTATAATAATGCGCAATAATAAAAAATTACTCCTATGTGACTAATAAATAAGAATGACTCACAAGAATGATAAGAATGATAACATTTTTGTAAACATGTTTGTACCCATTTATGTAAACCTTAGTTACATAAAATTGATTGATAAGATTGATAAGAGTCTCTCAATAGCTTTAAGCCAGAGAGTAAATGCCAGAGTTAGTAATAAATTTAAAAGTTATGTGTTTTAAATCTCATAAATTAATCCAAAATTCAAACTACGCGTAAAATTCACTCACATCAACAAGCATTGAAATATTTAAACAAAACTTACAAATAGTTTTGGCCACAATTTATTATTTTATATCGATCATATTTTATTAATCTTAAATTTTAGGGAAAGTTCCCGAAATAGGACTAAAACAGTTTGAAAATTCCAAAATAGGACTGTCATGTTTTGTATTCCCAAAATAGGAGTAATTAGAGTCAAGTTTGGAAAATACTGCCATGTTTGAAGTCTGGTCCTGCCAAAACATGACAGTAATTAGTCCTGGTTTGGGAATAAAAACATGGTAGTCCTATTTTGGAATTTTCAAACCTTTTTAGTTCTATTTCGGGTAATATTCTCTAAATTTTAGTGTTCATTTGATGTTATTGGTACTTTTGCACTTTTATTTTATTTATTTCATTTTAATCGCTAAGTTTAGTTAATCTTTATTTCCCTTTTGTCCGTCTCTGTGAAGACGATACTCGTACTTTTTACCATTTTTCTACAACTATTTTAAGTGCGAGAAAACACTCATCAGAGTTGCTCTGGATCGATGGGAGTGCTGAGTCCAGACTGGTGGTCATTGTACAAAAGTACCAATAACATCAAATGAACACTAAAATTTAGAGAATATTATCCGAAATAGGTCTAAAAAGGTTTGAAAATTCCAAAATAGGACTACCATGTTTTTATTCCCAAAATAGAACTAATTACTGTCATGTTTTGGCAGGACCAGACTTCAAACATGGCAGTATTTTCCAAACTTGACAGTAATTACTCCTATTTTGGGAATAAAAAACATGACAGTCCTATTTTGGAATTTTCAAACTGTTTTAGTCCTATTTCGAGAACTTTCCCTAAAATTTAAGATTAATAAAATATGATCGATATAAAATAATAAATTGTGGCCAAAACAATTTGTAAGTTTTGTTTAAATATTTCAATGCTTGTTGATGTGAGTGAATTTTACGCGTAGTTTGAATTTTGGATTAATTTATGAGATTTAAAACACATAACTTTTAAATTTATTACTAACTCTGGCATTTACTCTCTGGCTTAAAGCTATTGAGAGACTCTTATCAATCTTATCAATCAATTTTATGTAACTAAGGTTTACATAAATGGGTACAAACATGTTTACAAAAATGTTATCATTCTTATCATTCTTGTGAGTCATTCTTATTTATTAGTCACATAGAGTAATTTTTTATTATTGCGCATTATTATACCGCGTATAATAATAAACATAAATGAATTTTAGATTACTTTTTGGGTACCGTAAGAGATCACTTTAACTATCTTCCATAGGATTTTTCATTATTTATCATTGAAAAATATTTTAAATATAATATTTTTGCAAATCACCAAATTAGTGAAGCCAATTAATTAGAATTTTATCAATTTCAATATATTCAGTCAATTAATCGACAATAACATCAAATGGGTATTAGAAAAAATACGTAGTATAATTTACTATTTGTCCAATGAGAATATTACCTGAAATAGGAGTAAAAGAGTTTGAAAATTTCAAAATAAGGTTGTCATGTTTTTATTCACAAAATATGACTAATTATTGTCATGTTTTGACAATACCAGACTTCAAACATGACAGTATTTTTCAAACTTGAAAGTAATTACTCCTATTTTGGAAATAAAAACGTGACAGTTCTATTTTTAAATTTCAAACTTTTTACTCCTATTTCGGGAACTTTCCCTAATGATGTAAAATTATTGGCTACAGTGTTTGATCCCGTCCAATTAGAAAATCACATGCCAAGATCTGGAATAACCTAAGCCCATTTCCGCCATCTCTCTGATCTCATCTCTCAGCCAGACGGTCGTACGCTACATTGCTCTCTCCATTTCCATCTCCTTAGACCGGACGTATTCTACACCACGCGGTTTGTCTAATACACTGAGGTTAGTCGACTATTACTGTATTTCTCTTCTTTTATCGTATCTTGTTTGTACGTTATTACATGTCGTTTTATATCTTATCAGCAGTGAATAGATCAAGCTTAGAGGGTGTTGTAGAGGCTCGTTCTTTATATGTTCTTTCAGTTAAAAGATGGTTAATTTTCTTAATTAAGGATTTGTTATAAGCTGTAACTTAATGACAACCAATACGCTGGCATTGTTGCCTTCGTACGGAGAAGAGCCAATTTATGTAGATGAACTGTGAGAACCTGTTTTCCAGCTTTGATACATGTAGAAATATGAATTGTACGGAGTATTAAACAAAAAAGGGTAGGATTGGAAAACTACTCCTATGTAGTGACTTAAAAAATTACACTCCTGCAATTTAAGTTTCATTTAGTAATTTCCCCTTTTTATTATCCCTATGGCGGTGGTACATATATAAACTGCACATAAACACCTTCTTTTTCCGGCAGAGGAGGGAGAGAAGGGGTTCAGTGAAGTGCTGCGATGGCGGAGAAGCCCCAACCTGTTCAGGTTTTGTATTGTGGAGTTTGTGGTTTACCCCCTGAGTATTGTGAGTTCGGCGGACCCGACTTCGAGAAATGCAAACCGTGGTTGATCCAGAACGCACCCAATGTCTATCCAGATCTTCTTAGAGGTATAAACCTGTTTGGGCTGTATATGGGAACATATATCTTCTCAATTTTAAAGAGGCTTATGTTTATTTTCTTTGACTAAATTTTTATTTACTTAACCAATAAAATATATATATTTTCCATCATTTTTAATGGAGCAAAAGACGCACTATTTTTTGGCTTGGGAGTTGGGAATATGATGGAATAAAGCAAAATAGCACACTAAACTGTCTGCGCTTCGTTATTATGAAGCAGTAATCAGTGCATGCAATTTTCGACGCAGATTTCACTATGGGTCATCCGGAAACAGTTTCTCGGTGCTTTAGTACAGGGGTAAAACTGCGTACATCCGACCCCCTTACCCCATCGTAGATGGGAGCCTTTGCGGCACTGGGGTAATGATGATGATGATGATGAACCAATAAAATATATTTTTGTACCTACTTTTTATAATACTGTGGATTCAAAGTCATCATGCCATAATGGTTTAAAAAAATTATATAAACATAGCTAAAATGGTTTTCTAAGGTCACTCCAAGTAGATCGTATAACAAGTAACACCGGTTCTCATACAAAATTTGAGGAATAGTTATATAAAAAAACTTAACTAGCAAAATCGGTTTAGTTCCTATATACAAAATTCAAAACTCCACAATTGTTATGGATCTAAATCAAATCTAAATGGTTTGGTTCGGTTCGGTTCTTGCTTTTATCGGTTCATATAAATAATTTTTTTTCATTCCCAAAGTTAACACATACTCCCTTGATCCCTTCATCCCTTGTAACTTTGTCAAAATTGAGTGACACGTAAAATAATAAAGTAAAGTGGTAAAATTAGTAGGACAACTAAAAACGAAATTTTGCAAAGTTGCAAGGGACATAGGAGGTCATTTACTTTTGGCTACATAAAAATGTCAAAATTAGAAGACAGGGAATAAAAGTATTTCCGAAGTTCAAATCACTCAAATAACAAAGTACAAACTTAATCAAGTAAACACCTATTGGAATAAAGAATATTTCAATTTTTGCCGAGGCGTAGCTCACCTGAAGGAAAGGGGTGCCATAAGGGAGATCCCGGGTTTAACTCCAAACAAAGACTTGTGATGGAACTTTACTAATATTTTCATCAGTGATCAAAGCTCAATTTACATCCTCCCAGAAAACGGTTCTGAAACGTCTTCAAGGATGGGATGTCATCCTATTTTGAAAAATACTCGTATTTCAATTTTTGTTCAAGAGGTAAAATATGAAAATAGTTGTTTTGGTAGCAATGAAGGTTGAATCATCATAGTACCAAAAATAGACGTCTAGTTCGAGTCTCTCAAAACATAAAAATATATGGAATTAACACATTTATTTGGGTTGCTTTTATATTTATGAAATTTACGTGATGGAACAAAACATGATTTGTAAAAAAATGAGTTTAATGTATTCAACCTCATGGAAAGAAATCTGTAACTTCCGATTTTTCCAATTCAATTTAACTTGTTTTGTTGCAAAATGGCATTGGTTGTATTCATACTATACTGTTACTAATACTACTACTAATAATTTGTTCTTAGATATTTTTGTTAATGTTATCATTATTATTACTACTACTATACTTTTTACTTTTTTAATAATGGGTTTTTAACGGTTCCTTAGACATGTTCAAGGTTGTTACGGCGTCCGCCTAGTCACCAACTAGGCATCT